CGCCAAGGTTAAGCCGGCGATAAGGATGAGACGCAAGAATGCCTCTTTTAAGGTTGTTATTCATTTATCATCAATACATCAGTTTTGTAGTTATAGATCATGGCCAGATAAATTGGTGTGAATGAGATTTCCTGGTTAGAAATGTAGATGATGGAAATATAGGAAAATAATAAGTGGTCATCATTACTATCATTATCACAATCATCACTAATTATTATTATTATGATTATTACCATTATCACTTTTTATGATTATCGTTATGATTATCTCAATTGTTATTGTGATTATTGTCATTACTATTATCAATTATAATAATGATAATCATTATTGTTCTCATTATCATGACAAATTATTATTGTACCTCCTTATTTCCATCGAGATTATTGTTATTAGCACTGTCATTATTATGATTATCAGAATTATCATTACCATTATTTATGTATTGTTATTATCATCATTATCTTGTTATGGATATCATTATTAACATTATAATTTTCACTTCCATTATCTTTATCATTGTTACTGCTATTATCATTTCTATTATTATTATCATTATCGTTCGCATTAGCATTAACATTACCATCACCATCATTCTCAACAGCATTAAAATCACTGTTGTATTATTATTAATATTTTTTTCTATCATTGTCTTTATTGTTATCGTTATCATGATTGTTGTCATTATCACTGCCATTATTATTACTATTATCATTAATATTTTATCGTTATCAGAATCATACTACGCCCCAGATAAGAAAGTTTGCAAAATGCGCTGAGTTGTTTAGAAGCAGAAACTGCGCAGCTACACGTACAGATTGATGCAAAAATGCGCGGATGAGTAAGAGTTGCTGGCTTCGTTGGTCCAACCAGCCAGTCATTGGCTTCAACTCCAGGAATTCCCAGTTCGCGGTTGCACGTTTAAGCCACCAATTACAAAATGGCGCGGCTGAGAGAAAAGAATTTGCTTAAATGGCGCGGCTAAGAGAAAAGAGTTTGTCCAAACAGCCAGAACCGCGGTCGAGATACCAAACACCGCCGCGCACAGCAAACTTTCCACTGGACTACGCATATGGGTGTAGGTTTGTGTACATTCGTATATCTGTAAACAGAATGTGATCTAATAACCGACGCATCTTTTTTCCAAAACAGTCTGCCGATTTTGTTATCAGAATTCGAAAGTAATTTTCTGCGTTCTATATCATACTATTTGCACATTATACCATTTGTATTTTCAGTGCACCATAACATAGCATTTATATTTTCTGGTAACTACTTGGAAACTGTAGGATCTGTTGCGAGAATTAGCGGATATCCTCTTCACAGGGATTTGAGCTAATTCCTTCCCTTGACTCTATTATATTACTCTTAATGCATGTCTTTGAATAAGCATTTCATTATATATATATATATATATATATATATATATATATATATATATATATATATATATATATATATATATATATATATATATATGTATGTATGTATGTATGTATGTATGTATGTATGTATGTATGTATGTATGCTTATATGATGCCAACAACGAAAATGGGATAAAACCTGTGTTGTAATTATAATGTTGCTGTTCTTGAGGACGGTCTAAAGTGATACTGTATAGAAGACTGAAATTCTCCATCCCTCTTTGGGGAGACACATGATACCAAAGATTGTTGTATTGGAGTCACAATAAATTATCTTATAATTTTCAAAATTGGGTAAGAGGCCGTTCTGGAAAGCGAAAATGCCCCAATTTTCGCTTTCTGTAGATGTTTGTGATATCAAAGTTCTCTAAACCTTGTGTTTCTTATTCTCCCTTAGTCTATGGTTGCGTACCTGAAAAGATATTATTATGAAACTTTCAAAGATAGCCAAAGAAAATGGTACGTTTGTTCGTAAATGTTGTGTAAACATTGATATTGGATTGATGTATTAATGGTGTTCAATGACTTTCCCTGTATCTGTGTATATGAGCTAACACGAAATATTCCACACATTAATATGTATCCTAGAGAGTCGAGTTGCCTCAAGCATTTGGAGTCCGAAGGTGCTTTCAGACCAGTTTCCCGAAAATACGTTGTTTTGTTTTAACTTTTATCTATAACATGAGCATCGATACGTTCTGATTAAGAGAATACAACCATGAGACTGTATTGTATTAATGTGATGTCCATGCTTGGGTTATAGATGAAAGTTCAAACTAACAAAACATTTAATAAACGCACTTACATTCTTAACACTCATTTATTCTTAAGAATAACAAGTTCTGACATCTTGATGTCAAAAAAGTGTTGCGAAAATATGGCAATTTATGTTATAATAAGCTGTGATATTCAGCCCGGGAATATAATTCTCAAAAATGAAAACAAAATCCCACAGAGAATCCCAGGGATTTCAGACACAAAGACCCTCATTCACCCTTATTCACCCTCATTGTGTAACTTACTAATGAATTTTAAAAGAAAGTGTTCAGTAACTTCATTATTAGCTCTCGAATCCAAGA